CTGAGAGAATTCCAGGAGATCTCCAGGATTGCTCCGGGAGAACTCCAGGAGATTTCTGGGAGATCTCCAGGACAGAGCTCTGAGAGAGCTCCGAGAGAATTCAGGAGAGCTCCAGGTGAGCTCCAGGAGAGCCCTGAGAAAATTCCAGGAGAGCTCTGCAAGAGCTCCGGGAGATCTCCAGGATTGCTCCAGGAGAACTCCAGGAGATTTCTGGGAGAGCTCCAGGGCAGAGCTCTGAGAGAATTCCAGGAGATCTCCAGGAGAGGTCCGGGAGAATTCCAGAAGAGCTCCGGGAGAGCTCTGGGAGAGCTCCAGGACAACTCCAGGAGATTTCTGGGAGATCTCCAGGCCAGAGCTCTGAGAGGATTCCAGGAGAGCTCCAGGAGAACTCCAGAGAATTCCAGGAGAGCTCTGCAAGAGCTCTGGGAGATCTCCAGGATTGCTCCAGGAGAATTCCAGGAGATTTCTGGGAGATCTCCAGGAGAGAGCTCTGAAAGAATTCCAGAAGAGCTCCGGGAGAGCTCCAGGATTGCTCCAGGAGAATTCCAGAAGAGCTCTGCAAGAGCTCCGGGAGATCTCCAGGATTGCTCCAGGAGAACTCCAGGAGATACCTGGGAGATCTCCAGGACAGAGCTCTGAAAGAATTCCAGGAGATCTCTGGGAGAGCTCCGTGAGAATTCCAGGAGAGCTCCGGGAGAGTTCTGGGAGATCTCCAGGATTGCTCCAGGAGATTTCTGGGAGAGCTCCAGGACAGAGCTCTGAGAGAATTCCAGGAGATCTCCAGGATTGCTCCATGAGAGCTCTGACTTGGAGAATTCCAGGAGATCTCCAGGAGAGCTCCAGGAGAATTCCAGGAGAGCTCCGGGAAAGCTCCAGGAGATCTCCAGGATTGCTCCATGAGAGCTCCAGCTTGGAGAATTCCAGGAGATCTCCGGGTGATCTCCATCCCTCCCATCCTGCTGCCACTCCCACATTTCCCTCTGTTTTCCCAACCCGCTCCATATTCCCAGATTCCCCAAAATCCTCCCCACCCCTGCCCTTCCCTGCTCCCCGCTGCCAGAATTCCCATTTTTTCCCAGCCCTCGTGGCCACCTGGGATGTCCCAGGACCCCTTGGCAGGGTGGGAGTTGATCCCACTCCATCCCTTCGCTTTTCCCGGATCCGGTGGCGTTTTTTCCGTGGATGTCACTGGAGTACCTCATGGCCACGGAGGGATCCCAATTCCCGGGAAAACTTTGGATCAGCTGGGCTGCAGGGCTGGATTCCATGGGAATTTGGGGTTTTCCATGTGGGAATGTGGCGGTGTGGCCTGGAGCCTCGGCAGGATCCCAAATTCCTTCTGGTTTTCCATGTTTTCCCTGTTTTCCATGTTTTCCCTGTTTTCCATGCCCTCTCTGTTTCTCTATTCCATTTTTCCATGTTCTTCATTTTTCCATGCTCTCCCTGTTTTCCATGCTCTCCCTGTTTTCCATATCCTTCCTGTTTTTCCATTCCTTCTATTTTTCCACATTTTCCCTATTTTTCCACGCCCTCCTTGGTTTCCCATTCCCTTCCCTGTTTTCCAAGCCCTCCCCGTTTTCCATTCCATTTTTCCACATTTTCCCTGTTTTTCCAAGCTCTCTCTATTTTTCCATGCTCTCCCAATTTTCTCATTCCCTTCCTGATTTTCCATCCCTATCCCTGTTTTTCCAAGCTCTCCATGGTTTTCATGCCTTTCTGGTTTTCCATGTTCTCCCTGTTTTTCCATCTTCTCCCATTTTTTTCCATCTTTTCCCTGGTTTTTCCACTCTCTCCCTCATTTTCCAAACCCTTCCCAGTTTTCCAAGCCCTCCCTGTTTTTTCCGCACCCTTCTCAGTTTTCCAAACCTTTTTCCCTCTCCCCWCCCTCCTYGGATCCAGACCCTGTGGGATCGGGACATTCCCACCATTCCAGGGTTGGATAATCTGGGATTTATCTCATCCTTTACCTCATCTCTGCCCGGATTCCCACCCTGGAATTCCCACCCTGGAATTCCCACCCTGGAATTCCCACCCTGGAATTCCCACCCTGGAATTCCCACCCTGGAATTCCCACTCTGGAATTCCCACTCTGCTCTTCCAGGCCATTATTCCCAACCTCGAGGCTCCATTTTTACTGGGAATTCTTGGGTGTGGAGCCAGACCGGATCCGTTCCTTTTTCCCACTTTTCCCCCTTCCCATCCCATCCCAGATCCTCAGTTCCAAGCCCCCCCCATTCCGAGGAATTCCCAGTTTTCCTGGAATTGGGAGCAGCAATCCCGGGAGAAGGATTTGGAGGCAGCGCTGATTTTTTGGGATGCRCCAATTTTTGCTGGCTCTAATCCCAAAATTCCAGCAATTTTTCCCGGGAATTGCAATGGTCAATCCCCTGGATCGAGGAATGTGCTGGAGCCATCCCGGGGAAAATTTGGGATTCTTTCTTTTCCCACACTTTTCCTGCGGAGGGGGAGCTTCCCTATGGATCAGAATTCCCAGGATTCCCAGGACATTCCCAAAGGAAGCCCCGCTGGGTGTTCCCGCCCCATTTTCCATGAATCCAGAACATCCCACAGCCCTTCCCAACCCTTTCCTCGCCATTCCCATCCCTTTGTAACAGCAGATTCCCAGCTGGATTCTCCGGGAGCCCTCCAATCCCAAAATCCTGGGGATGGGATGTGGGGAATTGCTCTGGGAGCTTTTCCCAGAGTTTGGGATGAAATTCCAGCCGATCCCGATCCCGGTTCAGCTTC